TGGATGCCGTGTGTGATCAAGCTGTTAGTCAAATACCCCCTGCCACTTTCCTTCTCTCTTGTTTTCCACTAGTAAGCCCCTTAAAAAGAAATGTTATGCCTTGCAGGTGTATATGAGTAGGTGTATGAGAAATTTAAGTACAAAAAGTAGGTTAGTCTGGAATATTTGTCTGCTCTAGTGAAATGCCAAGGAATCATTTACTGTATGATTACATGAAGAAAGAAATTGATAGTCAAATAAAATGGCTTGGCTTAGATGGTTTTGTGATCTGACTGTGAGGAGGATTTTGAAAGGCAGCCTGTCTTGACTATCTTTGAAAACACTGTGTTTTGAGTTAAGCACAAAGGAAAACAAGCTAGTTTTGACATTAAGAAAATCACAGATCACGTACATTTCCAGAACTGCTCCTCTGTACTCATATGAGATGAGATTTGTGAGTAATTTACTGGATGATAAGCAGGCCAAGATGATTATGAGCCCAGGGAATATGACTAAGACCTTTCAGATCCAGTTGCTTTGAAAGCCTCTGCAATGGGGTTTTATATAATATCGATGCACATTATTTCTTTTAAGGAGTAGCTTCCTAAAAGCCTTTAAGAATTCATCATCTGATTCTCTGTTCCTCCTTTCATACAGTAGCAAGAGAAATTGCAAAGTTCTGCTGATTTGCCAGCTGCGTCTGCTGCTGATGCTAGGAAAATGCCACTGTACAAGAGCACAGGTGTTGTTTCCCTGCTTGATACAGTATACTTTTAATTTTCTGCTCCAATCACCCTGGAGAGACAAGTGGAAAAAAATGGGGAGGTGGGAGAAATCTATTCAGATGCATTGGGGGAGTATCTGAAAGAGAGGTGGAATCACATATTCCAGGAGACAAGAACTATACTGCCTGTAAGTCTTAATTTTTTAAGCATATACTTTGTTTTGGTTTCAGCCTCTGACTGAGTTCATATCAACATTAATCATTTCTCAAGGATGGAGTGTTTTAATACAGTAGTTTAAAGCTGCTGTTGGGAGTTGTCGTCTTTAGTTTACCTGCTTCTAATCGGCAATCTTTAGTTTTGCAGTGGTTTAAAGCAAAGGTATTATGGTATGTTAATCTGTAGATTCTTTTTTTTTTAAGTTGTACTGTATCTTTTGATTACATTAACTAAAGTTATATCCACCAAGGGACTGAGGTGGGAAAGGGAGGAAATGTGAGAGACCTGATGAAGAAACCCTTAGTCATTTCCTTTATAATGCATCAGCAGAAGTTCTTTAGGTGTGGCCTTGATTTTGGAAGCTGCAGTAATGAACTGGGAAACTATTCACACTTATTGTAATGAGTAAATTGTATTTAAATCTTAATATTTTCAGTAATTATCTGTTTTGCTGCAGAAAGTTTTGTGTTTGCTATTTATCATGTTAAAAATTTACTGTGCATCATAGATTTGATTCCCCCCCCCCCCCTTGCTGGGTAAGGAGCATTTGATCTTTTCAACAGATTAGCCAACTAGACTCCAGTAGATCTGTAACCTGTGCAGCACTATGTAACCGCAAATGTGAAAACAAGCCTAGAACTGCTGTTACTATATCATCATAGTTTTTTTCACTGTACACTGTGTTGTAATAGTAAATGAAATATTAATACTATACAACACTCTGTTAAAGTAAGTTATGTGGAGAGATTGTACTGATCAGTTCTTGGGCTGTATTATACGTTATATGTGGCTTGGAGGCTTTGATAGAAGAGAATGGGGACAAAATAGTAAAGTTATCCTTCATTTTACAGAGCTGGTCAAGCTTTCTGAGGGTGTCTCCCCCGCCACCAAGTTTGGAAGGTTCTATGCCAGCACATACAATGTCATATCTTTGGGAGACCTCAAATAGGGGGTAGGAAAAAGCCCCTCTCTTCAGCTGTCAGAAGTCTTAGTTGCATATCCAGTAGGTCAGGGATTTTCACCTAGTCGTGATCCCTACTACCAGATTATAACTTCACAAGCCAGGTAGTCAGAAGTCTCCTTAGACCTGAAGCTCCTAATCAAAGCAGTCTCTAGGAGCAGCTAACCAAAGCTGAGGGGTTTGTTTGGATTGTTTAAAATCTGAAACCAGGGGCTTTCTTGTTGTATTTAGTATGTGACTTCTGCTCTTGCCTCACTGTCCCTTTAGGCTTGTTTGGTTGCAGTATTGCGTTGGTGGGATGAGTCAGAATTTTCACTTTCAGCAATTTCTAAAGGTAGAGAAGCCCTCTTGGGGTCCAGACCTGGCAATCTTGTGGCCCCTTGGGCCATTGTATTTCAGTCTTTAAAGTTCTTTTGCTCATTTCCTTCATGCTAGTTGCATACAGTCCATCAGTCCTCCTATCCCAAGGTCCAGTATGATATTTGGCGTCATTTTGGTCTCTCTAGTTTTTAACTTTGCTCCTGCATCAACCACTGTGTTTTTCAGGCATCTACTTTTCAGCCAATTGTCCATTTTCTCACTTCCTCCAGCCACTCACCATTACCCTTGGCTACTCTCTCTGGCCACTCCATCAGTCCCATTTCTTCCTTCTGCCTGCCAGTGGCATTCGTCCTCTCTTAGAACTTTAATTTTTTTATAACCTCTGCTTAGCTTAATGTCCTGTCTCCTCTTCTGTTCCTTGGTCACCTGTTTCCTTTACACAGTACTCACTGAAATTCTTTTTCAGTCCTTTGCCTGTTCTGCCATAGCTTTCATTCTTCTTCTGCCCTTTGAGCTCCCTGCTCTTTAGTTTCACTTTTCCTGAAACCTCTTCCCATTCAGTTTTTCATGCTGTTCCATACAGATCATATTACCCCTGTGTAGTTCTTTACTCACCGCATTTGCACTGCAAATATTCTGACAGCTCCGTTCCCTGATCAATTGAAATGTTTGTGAACATTCCACCATATTACACCTGGCTGGCCAGTTGTTCCCTGGGGCTTCACAATAAAATTCTGTAGTCTGTTACAGTTAGATTAATCCAATTGTTATAAGTCCAAATGAAAAGCAATATTCCAGTGTGCTGCTGTGAGACCCAGTGTAGTAAGCATACACAGCATAATTTTTTCTTATCCTGCTACTGCATTCTCAAGTGGTAGCAAGCTATTTTAAAATTACACAAAATAACAATAGGACCAACAGTGTGCAAAAGAAACAAATCCCTAGGTATATATTTGATACTACAACAAAGCAAAACTGTACCCATACTGGCTGGTACTGGATGGGAGAGCCCCATATTGTTGGCCGTACTTATGGTCTTGTGGGATTGTCCAGACTTCCTGTGGGCCTGTATGGTATTACAGGCTCCTTAGCCCAAGAATGTTGCTAGCTGAGCTGATCCATATTTTGTCTCAGATCCAGTTTATATTGTGGCCTTAAACTGGTTTAGTAATGATTCTCATAACTCAGGAACCTTTAGAATGGCACTTTGAAAGAAGGTGGTATGTTTAACAGAATTTTCAGCACTTTCATCGAGCTGCTACCAGGTTGTGGTGCACAAATATGTTCTTGCCTTGTCACTGGTGAGTGTAGTTGTAAGTTTGATGAGCGCCCCTGCCATGTTCCCAGACATACTTCTATTGCTTTCCAGGCCTCAGAGATGCCTCAATTTGGAGCTGACGCTGAAGTGTATTTCCTTTGGATTTTGAAAAAAAATAGGTAGTGAAGAAGAAGAAGAGATTGGATTATACCCCGCCCTTCACTACCCGAAAGAGTCTCAGAGTGACTTACAATCCCTTTCCCTTCCCCACAACAGACACCCTGTGAGGTAGGTGGGGCTGAGAGAGCTCTCTCAAGAACTACCCAAGAACTGAGAGAACTTGTGACTGACCCAAGGTCACACTATCAGCTGCATGTGGAGGAGTGGGGAATCAAACCCGGTTCTCCTAGATTAGGATCCGTGCTCCTAACCACTACACCAATTCTTCCCACTCCATTTACAACAGATCTCTAGCCACCACCTGGAAACTGGCAACCCTATTTGCCAGAAAACCCAAGCAGAAAAACAGCTGATTGATATGTTCTGGCTGCCATAAAAGACACAGGAGCAGACCTAAAAGATCCAGTTGGTAAACCTACAAGCCACGAGATTTGGAAGCCATGGAGATGTTAAAAATCTGTGATTGCTACATCCAAACCTAAGGATTCTGTTTGTTTTAGATATGGGTAGAAGGGGGTATTTCTAAGTGTGAGAAGCCACACTGGATAACAAATTATTTTATAAATTTCAGTGGCTAAGAAATTGAGCTACAATGCAGAAAGTTCCAGGTTCAAAGCTTCTCTGCCATAAAATCAGCAGATGGCCTTATCCCAACCCCCAGCCTAAGACAAGGCCATGGAGAGTATGACGTTTAAATACATAAATATCTTCATTGTAGATTGGATTGTCAGGGCAGACCTTGTTTTGTGTAAACCAACTTCAAAAGCTTCTTTAGGTCACAGATTCCAGGGAGAGTGCTGTTTCCTTGCTTCCAGACTCCCTGTGGGTGATGTTTAATAAATGGAAGATTAGAAAGAATCAGGATGTCGGAGCTCAGCTATGCCCGTGCAGAATGCTCTCAGAACTTGAAGGTGCAACAGAAGTTTAATTGGAGAGTTTCATTCTAACTGGAATAAGTTGAGACCTTCTCCTCTGTAGTGAAACAAGGGGATCAGGAGTTTGCTTGTGATGGAACCCTTTACCTACCCTAATTCATGCTTTTGTCACAGAAATACATCTGGCCGTTTAGTATTATTGCTGACGTGATTTCTTGACATTATTTCCTAATAAATGCAGGAAGCATTTGTGTGTACATAGAGTTGGATTCAGGCAGGCTTTCCAGTAATGAAAGGGAAAGAGTGATCCCTTTTGACCACCCAGAAAGACTATGGTGAGAACTATGGGACATGCATGAACAAAAGGCTATGGAGGGATGGAGCAGTAGTAAGGAGGTGAATTGGGGTAAGATTGAGTAAAAAAGCTGACTGAACCCAACCGGACATTTTAAAAAGAGCCTATTAACTGTTTGTTTGTTTTTTAGAATTCACCACTTTATCAATACCTACAGGACTTGGGACACACTGACTTTGAAATATGTTCACCATTGTTGCAAAAGCCAGAAGAATGTTCATCCGAAGAGGAGCAAAAAGAGCTGGATACAAGTGCTATTCTCAGGGTAAGCACTGAGTTTTGCAATTCGAATGCTGTATAATTTCTCAGTTTAAAAATTCACCACCCTCCCCTTTCTATATAAGAATGTGTGTGTCAGTAGCATTACTTTCATAGTGTGCACATTAATGAAACTAAATGGCAGTCGCTATAGAGGAGCAGTCCTACCTTTGGACCCTCAGTGTCAGATGTCCAGTATTCTAGCTCTTGGGGGCAACTAAAATGAGGTGATGGCTAGCTGGCTGACAGGGGGAAGCCCCACCTCCAACAGCCACGGCTGGACACGATGTCCCTGGCATGATGATGTCACATGGAAGTGACATCATCATGCCGGGGGGGGCAATGCTCTGGTATTTTGGGCAAAATTCTATGGTAACCATAGAGTTTTGTCCAAAATACCAGAGCGTTGCTGCACGACTTCCATGTGACATCATCATGGCAATATTGCCCGCCCCCCCACTCCCACCAGCAGAAGAATAGTACCTGGCAACCCTATGGGTGGGACTTCCTTTTTCATGCTGTTACAGTCAAACAGTAAGATCCAAATCTGTATGTCCCTACAGTTGGGAAAACAATATTTTGACCCCAGTTAGCCATTTCGTATAATGTGGATAAACATTTTGCAGTTATCTAAAAACTGTCTTCTCATATCCAGAATATGGAAAACATCATGTTGGTTTCTATTTCTTTCTGTTCTGGAAACAGCTAGGGATTGCTAAAGAGATAAATCTGTATGGACTTCCTAATAACTCTCTAGTGTCTTCTGTGATTTATTGCATAAGTCAAAATATAGTTAGCTATATGAATATCTTACATCTTTCTGACATGGTGAATCAACATTATCATTGGTGGTTTAATATCCAATTATTTGCCATTTCAGGGCTGATATGCAAATATCTAAAATTACAACATTTTCATGCTTTTAACATGAATTAATCTGTTAAATTCTGTTCAGTTCGTTCAAAATGATCTGTCTGCAGGCAAATATCCTTTATTTCCCAGGCATGAGAAATGTACTTAGTTGGTAAGATTACAAAAGAGTGGCATGTTATATGAATGTTTTTCATTTGGCTCAAGATCCTAATGTAATCATTTGTAGTTGAATGCTCCCTAACTGCACTGTAGTAAGGGAAGATGCATCTCTTTTCCTGGTTAGAAGGAAACGCAGGAGGCTGCTGTGACCCGTTTCTTTTGCCAGTGATAAATCTCTTCCATCGTATCATATAGAGTATACTCTTTTGATATATATGCATCTGGGCCTGAATAAGATGCACTAAAGCCTTTAAGAACTGAGTTCACTCGCTTCCAAGCAGTCTAGAATGGATTCAGAGAATACTAATTTTAGCACCCAGATGTCAGTGAATTGCTGAAAGATTCAAGCAGATTGACTCCCTTTATTAACTCCTTTAGGAGTTTTGCCTCATCATGAATATCTGCCACTCTAGACCAGCCTTTAAACTATTAGAAAGTTTAGTTTCAAATGTGTAAGGGTGAGAAGAATAAATATCTCCAAGTAAAAAAAAAATTCAGAGGATCTGTTAAAGCTAGTAAATGCCAGTAATCAGTAGACACTTGGAAAAGAAACTTCATTTTTAAACACAAGGACTTCAAATGGAAGACTGTCTAACCTGCATTGTTTCAGCAGAAGATACATATTTTTCAAACATCAGTTGGGGCCAAATTTTCATGCCTGTGTGTGTGGAAACTGTGTGTTATGCCTGCTTATTGCAATTCATGCATATCCTGAGCTGAACTTACACTGCATTAATCTCTGTGGCAGACTGGGACAAAAACAGAGTCAGCATAGGCTAGGCACCAACTCATTAAGTTGCCATTATAGGGCAACTACAACATACCCTCTGCAAATGACATGAATTGACTTCTTTCTGGAAATTCATCTGCTTTGTGATTTCCCCTTAGCAACTGGTTGGAGCATGCTCAGTGCAGTTATTTTCTGCCTACCTCTTTCTTGTCCACAGTGGAGAATTCTTTTTTCAGTGGGCATAGAATCATAGAGTTGGAAGGGACCTCCAGAGTAATCTAGTCCAACCTCCTGCACAATGCAGGAAATTTACAAATACCTCCCCCCCAGCTATATGCTAAACCAGATCCTGGAGGAGGAGGAGGAGGTTTCTTTACATACTTTCTTGTCCATGACACTACAAGCTGAAGGCCTTTCCAATGCCCCAAAGGTAAGAAAATGAAAAACATTTTGACAAAACTTGATCTACATATTAATGTAGGCCAGCGGCACTTGCTAATATAAAAGTAGTTAAAAAAAGAATAAGGAAAATAATAAAAGTAGAGATATTTTTAAAATGTAAATATGAAACAGTCTGATGTGTATTTTCTTGTCAGAACTTTTATTTGGTGCCTGGTTCTGCAGGGTGTTTGTGGATGAGTATGTTTATGGGAAGCACAAATACAGAGTCCTTGTTCCAGGAGAAACAGATGGCTGTGTTGCAGCTGCAGGAAAGACTTCCACTTTGAGAATTTCTTCACTAGTGGGTCAGAATTAAGATTTTAATTTTCTTGCTTGGTGCCTCTAACTAAGGATGCGTAGAGCTCATGTTATCTTTTGGAGTTAAAATGAATTTAGTTTGCATGCTTTCTTATCATGTTGCTCCTTCCTTCCTTCCTTCCTTCCTTCCTTCCTTCCTTCCTTCCTTCCTTCCTTCCTTCCTTCCTTCCTTCCTTCCTACCTTCCTTCCTTTTTGAGAGCCAGCATGGTGTAGTGGTTAAAAATGGCAAACTCTAATCTGGAAAACCGGTTTGATTTCCCACTTCTCCAAATGAAGCCTGCTGGGTGATCTTGGGCCAGTCACAGTTCTCTCAGAACTCTCTCGGACCCACTTACCTCGCCTGTTGTAGGGAGAGGAAGGGAAGGCGATTGTAAGCCACTTTGAGACTCCTTACAGTAGAGAAAAGAAGGGTATAAAAAACCAACTCTTCTCTTTAAAAGAAGTGTGTGACATGTGTATTCTATTGTTGCTCTGTAGTGCTCAAGGCTGAGTATGCAAGGTTCCCCTGATGTCTTCTTGTCCAGCTGATGATCAAGCTCAGTCTTGTTAAAGTTCACTAAGGTTACTACATCATGTCCCTTCAGACTGTGCTGCCATATTGTTGCCTCTATACTTAAATGAAATTTTGTGTATATTTCGCTCTTAAATAACTTTGTTGGAAAATGGCTATTTTTAGTTCTTCTGCTTCCGAGCCCCCCCACCCGCCACACAGGACTAAAATTTCTCAAGGCCCATGACTCATTGTCATTGTACTAAGAATACAATTATACATGCTGAGGAAACATGAGGTTCCCAACTTCAAGTTTCCTTTGTCACACTAATGTGTGGCAAGGACAAAACTGCTGGACAGTAAGGACATGCTCCCCTACCTAATTCTCCTGTGCCATTGCACCTTGGCTGATAAGTATAGTTTTATTCTTTTCTACCAGCGGAGCTCTAAGACTGGGAAAAGCCTGGATGTTGGGAAAGGTGATGGTGGGAGAAGTGGATACTTGCAAGGGAGAACTTGCAGGTGGAGAAGGAGTTATGCGGCTGCCCTCTTGCCAGTCACTTCCTGCACATGCTCCTCTCCTCCCATGACTGCCTTTGTATTAACTGACAGGCATACATTTACGAAATGCATGTTTGCAGGTATCATGTCTATTCTTGCTCTAAGCCGGGTAACTTTGTGGTAAGCCTTCTTTATTAGAATCTTCGGTTCTGCCCTAGATTTGGAAGTGATTGTCAATCAAGGAGCGTTGCCTGCTTTCGGATTCACTTTCTGATAGAAGCTTTTCTGTGGTAATTGCAGTTTTAGCTTCATTGTATGTTATGGTATCCAGGCCTTTTTTTTTTTTTTTTTAAAGAGGTATTGAATTCTCAAGAGAGAAATGAAGTTGTATGTTATGGTATCCAGGGCTGCAGCTGCTTCTTTTCTTTTCTTTTTTTGGAAAAAGAGTTGCTGGAACTCTCAAGAAGGAAATTAAGTTTTCAATCTGTATACTGAAAACTCACAAACTTTTAAACATTTTAAAAAGAATTTTGTCGAACAGGTTCCAGAACTCCACTCCTGTTCATTCCTCCAGAAAAAAAGCCCTGGTGGTATCCACCCTGACAAAGGCTTTGCAACTATTCACCATGCTTTTGCAATTCTGCTTAGCACACCATACTTGAGGACCTTCCAGTGGTAATGAACACAAAGAAAAATATATTTAGCATTCTCTCTGCAGTGAATTAGAGGGTGACAATACCAAAATTAGAATTGAAACGTAGTTCCTGTATTTATAAGGGGACTCGGCAGGCTACTTCCTTTTCATCCTATACTACTGGTGATTACAGTAAAAATATTCCTAACTGCTTATTTTCAACGGATTTGTATTTTATAATGAGATATGTTTTTCTTAAAAGTTGCTGATTAAATTATTCTTACAGTACAGTCCTTGCCAGGGTTACATCCTTCTAAGACTGCTGATTTCAAACTGAACTGGAAGGGTATGATTCTGTTTACGATTGCACTGTCAGTTCAGTAATGAATATTTAGTATATAATGGCATTTATGGGATAGCTTCTCTACCCAGGTCAGTATAAAACATGGGTTAATGTATTACCTGGCATTAAGGAAGAGTATTCAGTTCAAATTATGTCTAATTTGCACAATGAATGGTTTCCCAGTGCATATCAGAAAGGCTTTCAGATTTTGAGCTTTCAGAAACAATGTAAGTGTCCCAGTCCCGGGGTCCCGGGACGTAACCCACACCCCTCAGGGACCCCAACGACCACCAACTCACCCAGGAGACCCACAGTGCCTCGCAACGCCAGACCCTGTCAGCGCTGCCGGGGCACAACAGCCTGGGTCAGCCCGACCGCGGAGCAGCAGGAGAGGCCGACAGCGCCCGGGAGAAGCTGATGGCGAACACACGAGGCGCTGGCGGCGCGGCCCCAGGCCGACAGGACCACCACTGGCATAGCTCCAACCACACCCAGGCCATAGGGACGGCGTAGGAGCTTATCATAGGGGGTGGGGCTGGGAGGAATCACAGGGAGGCGGGGCCGGGAGACGGTGCTGGGAGAGGGAGCTGGGTATAAAGGAGAGGGAAGCGAATGGCCGGGGAGGAAGGATGTGCTCGTAACTACCTGATGCTGGCAGAGAGAGAAGGAGTCCAGGGAGGACCCCACCCCCAAAGCACGCGACGTGCATGTTGCCCAGAGGTGACGCGATCGCGTCGGGCGCATTGGTGGTGGGGCCAAGGTCATCCGAGGGAAAACTCAATGGTTTCCCCTCGGATGGTCGTGGCCCCGCCCCCAGCGTGCCCGGCGTGGTCGCATTACTTCCGGGTGACGTGGTTGCAGCGTGCACGCGCGCACTCCTGGAGCAGCACTGGAGTCCCCTGCTCCAGCGCCACTTCGGCCTTGGCAACCCTAACTGTACAAGACCGCAATAATCAATTAAAAAACATTTAAACCTGGGCATACTCTACAGTGGTGTTTCCAGTTGTGGAATGTTGTTTTTTCATTATTTTGTGAGAGGATTTTAATGTAAGCGATGTCCATCTTTGGAGAAACTTGGGTTAAATAGCTGTTGTAAATAATTTTTAGTCGGAAAAATTCCCTATGAGGATACAGTCACCTATCATTTTTGGATGACAGAAACAGTTGGTGACAGAAACCGTCTGCTAAATTCTTTTTCTGTGTAAAATTGTCCATAATGTGGTAATACCAGTGTACAGATGGTTCTAATGTTTTAATAACTTCTTCTGCCTCTTAGGGGCCAGTTTGCAAGTGGTGGCATCACTCAATCATTTTGTGACTATGCATAACCATCTCTGGATTTCCAAATAGGAAGTATTTAAGGCAATATGGCCTGGTGTGTGTGTACATATGAGAAATAGCTTCTTTTTTTTAGCTGCCAGTAACATTCCAAGCGGAAACAAAGCCTGATGGCATTCCAAGACACATGAATAATGTAATTGGTGGCTCAATACCACTGGTGTAGTTTAGAATACTGGATTGTCATATATGGTATTGTCAGTATTTTTTTTCAACCTACTGTTTATGCCAGTTCAGGTTTTCATTTACAGCCCAAATGGAATTAGGTTTATATGAGCAGTATGTTCAAATGAATTGTATAACAGGTTTGAAGGTACAGGGTGGTAAGTATGTAGATCAGACATATGCTCCAATAAGCCAAGTTTCTGTTCTATGGCTGTGATCCGAAATAACTACTTTTAGGCATGTATGCCCTGTGGATTTTTAAAGCTAATCAGGTTCCCAAGCCATACCCCAAGTCACCTCTATTTCAGAAGAGGATTTTTGTGAAACATGTTCACTGAATTGGTTTCATAGTTCTTTGATCCAGGTTTATCATTCCAGTTTATCCAGAATGGAGCATTTCATTTAATTTCTTGACTTGCACTTCTGACTTTCACTATTGAATCATTTGGGACACTATCTTCCCTTGAGTTGACCATTTTAGTTCATTACTTATTTTAGCTGTTAATCCCAGAGTTCTCAAACTGAAAAGGTTTATGATACAATTTTCTGCAACAAGCCATGTCCTCATGATATCTGGTTATTCAATGAGAAGATGCATGCTGCAAACTACCCAAGTTTTCTTGTACACCTTAAATATATCCAAGAATGCTCATTGCTGAAGTCAGGCTACCAGGCTGGATGGAGCCTTTGCTTATTCCACTGTAATCCTTACATTCTTAAAATAGACTACTGCTTGTCACTGCCCTTTGGAAACAGTGCTATCTGCTTTGCATAAAAGAGAATTAAAAGGGTAGCTGCACAGGATCATATTCTTCTAAGGCCATGTTTCTGTTCTTCTTAATCAGAAATGCAGGTTAGAGCTAGCAATATGCCACTTTTTAATGTACTTTTCAATTGCAACCAACTTTTCTTAAGCCTGCTAAGGATCAACTACTATTAAGTAATCTTGGCCTAAATTTAGCATCATGCCTCTGTTTTTGTTTGTTAAAAAGAATGGCCACATAAACCTCATAAAGGTCATTTTAGTAAAATGTGCAGATTTCATCACTGCCTTTCATTTTATGCTTTTTAACATTTCAAAGGCCTTTTAATGCTTTCTCTTGGATTTCTGTGAGCCGTTTAATTAGTCCACCGTTGTCCTATGGCAATAGACAATTTTGTGGAGAAGCTGGCACAAACTTACCACTTTTGCATATCCAAAATCAATCTATATGCGTAGAGTAAAAAAGTCCTTGTCTTGCATGACAAGTTTTCTAAGGTAGTTTAGCAGGCATCATCTTTACAGTTAGATTAGAGGCAATAAATAAAGCTTTTTCTAATATTTTTAGGATAATTGCTTTACTTATAAGCTAAAATCACTTGCTTTCTAATTCTTTTATAGCAAGACATCCTGTCAAAACTAGCTGAGAGATTTAAACGCTGGCTTCCTTTTTTACCATATAAGAAAAAAGATGATATACTCTACCAGATGGTAAGCATACTTTATTTCACCCCTTGCTTCTCCTCAAACATCTCCCAATTCCCACCAGTAATTGTTTACTATATTTCTTAATAAAACTGTTTATTCATTGATTTTTTTAAAAGCTAGGTCAATGAGTCCTTACCTGTTCCACAAAGTGTATAGTGAACTAAAGTGTGTGTGTGTGTGTGTGTGTTATAGTTGAATGCTTTCAATGTAAATACTTTCTATGTAGTTTACATAAAAAAGTAAAGTACTTAAAATATCATAAACAATAGCTCTGTTCAAGGAGCTAGGTCCAGGCAACATGGAGGAGTGTATACCTCTCAGTGATCCTGTCAATTGTGGTTGAAATGTGCCTTCTTATTTTTTTGGCTTGGCTTGGCTTTTGTAGTGTCATCCACACAGTAGCAGTGCATGCCTGGACGTGAAAGTTTACAACACTTTTGCCTTTCCTTGTCTACTCCTGCCTAAGCACCAAATCGATGCTTAGGCACACAGCAACAGCAATTGGGTTTGTGTTGCAAAGAGGGGCTGGAGGTAGATGAGAGATGGAGTGCTGCTTCCAGGAGCTGCTGACTAACAACGTATCTTATGTTTAAATGTACCTAACAAGAATTATACATGGAGGCACCATAGCTGAATACTAGAACAAATGCTTTCATGCATCATGTTCTGTGTTCAGTTGTCTTCCCCCTGCTCCAAACCCTATCTATTTTCAGGGATTATTTAATTGAGTGCTATAGTAATTTATGGTCCTTTGTGTTTTACAGTTGATACAACAGGAGATATAGTAGCTGTGTAGTGGCATTTGACAGTCCTCAAACCATAGCTAATATGTTAGGTAACTTTTACATAGATAATACAGATAACTTTTAGATCATGGTAGCACAGCTTTCATTTGGAAAATGCCTCTGTATGTTGAATGTGCTCAGCTGATACTGTTTCCCTCATCTCTTCATATTAAGGATGTTGGTTTTCGATCAGAGGTTCTCTGCACGATCCTGCAACAGGAAGTTTTGCTGCAAGAGGATGTTGAGCTGATTGAGCTACTTGACCCCAGTATCCTGTCTGCAGGACAGCCCAAGCAACAGGAACATGGACATCTTCCAACACTACACTCCCTAGCAACTCCTAATATTTGGTATTGACATGAGCCATGTGCATCCTATGTGCTTGAGTTACATACACTGTTAGACAAAGTGGCATGGTCTTTTCATATGTGGTGTCCCAATCCATGGAAATGTTCTCTTTTTATCTTATTATTATTTTGAATTATTTCCCTGCCCTTTCCATTGGATCCAAAGCTGTGGCATTGGCTTCCCTTGCACACATTCCTTGCTAGCTTCCCAGCTCTGTGTTTTATATTGATTTGCACAGAATGCTGCAGGACTATATTTCCTCTTTGGCTTTTTGGAAGACTGCTGTGAGAAATGGGAGAGGATTACCCATAAACACATGATCTATTTTAGCACAATTAATACTGGGCCTTTGGGGGGGGGTCAGTACATAATTAAAGCAGTAGTTTTCAAAGAATGAGGGAGGGTCACAATGAACTTCATGTTGACATTTTTCAATATGTCTTTGTTAAATGTCGACACAACCTCTAGAATTTGGAGTAATGCAGTTTCCTGAGGATTATGTGGAACCATATGGTAGGGTGCACATTCCAAAATTAATTCAATGGGTTTTGGTCCCATGTCTTATATTGATCATTGGTGATATGAGATGATTGAACTACCCTGAGATTTTTCTTCTATAAGTCCTTTTTCAATAAATGTGTTTTCAAGAAATGTGTTCAAGAAACATGAACATGCCCACTGCATCATCTTTTTCCTTGATCTGTCCATTTTGTTTTTTTTAATCCCCTGCAAGCAGGGTAGCTTTATTATTATTTTTTGTTACACCTAAACGCTACAGAAAAGAAAAAAGGGAAGGGAAAGGTTACCCCAGGATAAAGGACAGCAAATAAAAACCCACACTGTGACTAAAATCCCAAGAGAGAGGGTTGTTAACAGTTAGTATTCTGTTAGTATTCAAAATTAAAGAGTTTTTCATTTAAGTCAATGTAATCGGACGTTAGTAAGTCCATGTTAGCGTCTTCTCCATCATCTTCTGTGTGTGCAAAGAGTTCTTTCATCTTCATCTCTCTGTTTGCAAATTTCAAGTCTCCAAAGAGCTATTTTGGTCTTCTAAGCCGCAAATCATATGTCTCTTTGGCCTCGCCACCTGTTGCTCCTTGGTCGTCGTCCCTGTCTTCTATGATGACTGCTCCGCCCTCTCCTTCTTGCTGTTCTTCCTCCTTCGATCCGAAAAACCGCTTCAACCATTCTTCTGATTTAAAAACCGAGTCAATTTTTCCCCTTTTGTCTCTATATTTAAACACGACACCCTCCGGGAAATTCCAGGAATACGGAATTTGGTTGATCTGCAATGTTGAAATCAACTCTTTGTAGGCTTTTCTTTTCTCACGAACCTCAAATGGAACATCTTTTAAGACTCTGATAGTTGCAATTCCCAGCTGCAGGGGATTAGCTGATGATCTGTCCATTTTGGAGGCTAAGAAAAATCATGAACAGTGCTGTACCAAACCATTTTGGTCTTGCCTTAGGGATGGATTACTACACAAATTTGAGGTGTCTCTGGAAGAATACTTCGTTCTTAGTCTCTCATTTTTTGATGATTCTATCTTTTTCTGTTACTGGGATCATAGATGAAACATTATTGTAAAGACCAATTTTTTTAGATGCAGCCTTTTAAAAAACTTGGTAGTGTTCAGGTTAAATGGGTCAGACTCTGGAAAAACAAAACTATCATTACTGTAGGGTTTGGTTACACAAAAGAAACATGCCCTTTTTCTACTGTCCCTTGAACCTGGAAAAGTATTATGTTCCCACCCTTTTTTGCTGAACAATCACTCTTCAGGTCATATATTTGAAGCAGCAACCAAATGGGTACATTTTCTGTCCATTAGTGCAAAATCCAAGCAGGCTGACACTTTATAGCTCTATAACAGCCGTTCGGTTAACAATGTTAATGCTTGTTAATATGGCTATAATAATAATAACAAGAAGAAGAGGAGGAGATTGGATTTATATCCCGCCCTTCACTACCCAAAGGAGTCTCAGAGCGGCTTACAAACTCCTTTCCCTTCCCCTCCCCACAACAGACACCCTATGAGGTAGGTGGAGCTGAGAGAGCTCTTGACAGAAACCGCTCCTTTTCAAGAACAGCTTTGCCAGAGCTATGGCTTGCCCAAGGTCATCCAGCAGGTGCATGTGGAGGAGTGAGGAATCAAACCCAGTTCTCCCAGATTAGAGTCTGCGCACTTAACCACTACACCAAACAAAACTTTGATTATAGGAGAGACCATTTGAATTGGTGTAACTGCTAGTTAAAAATATGCCTGTTTACTTAAAGATACAATTAATTACTTAATGAACAGTTCACTAATAAACTAAACATTATTTATTTAATGTCTTGAAGATAATATTCCTAATCTTACCATGTGAAATCAGTTCTTTTATATGTTAACTATATTACATATTCCCATTTATTGGAATGTCAACAGTATTATAATTAATTTTGCAGGTTTAATGATTAGTTAACTACAAAAATATGTCGCTCATGTTGGTCTGTTTGTTTTGCAGGGATATCTCACTGTCACTTGCCTTCATCAGTACACTGATCATGCTTCCTTCTTGGTGCAATGGATCCCTGGGACTGGTGTGGGGAATAGGCATGTTTGTTTATACTTTTGTGCGGATTTTGGACACTTTGAGGACAGCTAAGCTGCAAATGTCTCTGAGAAAACGCCAACTTCAGCTAGAAGATACAGTGCTTAATTGCCGAGCTTTCACTAATCTTGTGAGGAAAGCTTTACGACTCATTCAAGAAACAGAAGTCATTTCCCGAGGATTCACTCTGTGAGTCTAAATTTTGGGTTGTTTTATGCATAGATTTAGAGACACCTGTGGGATATTAGATCAATATACAGTTAAGAAATTTTAGTTTTAAATGTTCGGATATCGTACAATATATGCTTATCATGACAGTCAGAGGTCATTTCGGGGGGGATTGCAGTTCCCCCGGGTGAGGTACGGGGGGCGGGGCACATGACGAAGCCCCGCCCCCTGCTTCCGGCCGCCCCGCTTCCGGCCCTCATTCAGCCAGGAGGAGGCAGGAGAAGAGGGAGGGTAAGTTGCTTCCTCCCTGCCTCTCCCCACCCCTGCCTGCCTGGGGCCAGGGAGGGCCTTCGCGGGGCTTCCTTGCACTCCCGCCGGCCTTGCAGGTCCACCACCGGGCCCCTCATGGGGCTCGGCAGTGGAGCTGCAAGGCCGGCGGCGGCGGCCGGGGCTATTGGGGGCGGGGTGTGTGGCCTTATGACACACTTCCGGTGATGTCAGGGGGTGTGGCATATGCTAATGAGTTATGCTAATGAGTTCCCCTAGCTCTTTTTCTATGAAATGACCCCTGATGACAGTTGAATATTTGGTACTGACGTATACCAGACTTGCAGAGGACATGGCAGGTAACAAGGGCATGAACAGGATTTAGGTGTTTTTTGTTGTCATGACCTTTGACACATTCTTCCAGGGATGTCTGTGAAACAGAGAGCAGCCTAGTAGATTGTTCCTGATATCTGAGGGAGGGAGGAAGAAGAGCTTAATAAGCCTGTTCAACAAGTCACCCTTCAAGCCAATTTTAACTTAATTTTTTTGTACTTGGGTCCCTCAACCATGAAGGTTGTATGAATTTGTTTTTTTCTGAATATTAATTTGCATTATTCAGATCTACATTTTCTGCCTGTTTATTTATTACATGGTGAGGCTATATAATTTTGTATACAATTACATGGTGAGATTTTTTAAACTACTGTCTTTAGGATATTATGTAATGTATAGAAAATCTGCCCCCTCCCCAATAGCTGACAGTCCAGAAGTTGAATATTCAGCATAATTGACAGCTCGTTTATCTTCAGAAGTTTAGGGGACTGTTTTGTTTCTGTCTAATTACATAAATGATTGAAGTGAGTTGTGAAAATCAATATAGTTGTATATGTTCTGTTCTGTCCTCTTCAAATATTTTTTGCAATGTATTTTACATAGTTAGTAGAATGGAAAAGGTAAAGAAAGATTAAAATATCCACATTTGAGTTTCTTAAATATTGCCATATATATAGAACACTTTACTTGCAGAGCATATGCTTTTAGTAAAAAGTTACTGGGAAGCTTGCAAATGCAAGCTGTAACATGCAAAGCTAAAACTGTATCCATTTTACAAACAGCAGATTTCCTAACTATGAACCATGAGAAGTCTGAGTTAAGCTTTTTTGGCAAAATCTTGTACTCTCTTTTAGAGTGTTTAGGCATGTTGGAAGGCTGTCCAAGTCTATTCTTGACAAGATAGCATGCAATTAAGAATACTTAATTTTACAGTTAAAGCTGTTTTTGAAAAAGACCTTTGTGTTAGTTGCAGGTTGGGCAAAACCCAAAGTAACTTGAGCAGATAAACTTGTTGTGAATAGAACTGTCTTAACTCTTCAGCTATAAAAATTTGTAGATTTTAAGTTCATTGCTTCTGTACTCCCTCTTAAAAACTATTTCATTATGGTTGAAATAGCTTTTTCTTTGCTGGTGCGATAACATTACTGTGGTGGTTAACCTTGTGTTCTGTTACTAATTTGTAGAATTCTTCAGTAACTTCAAAGAAATATGCTTGAGATACCATTTTATTTTCAGTAGTAACTTGACTTCCTGCTAATAAACTTTGGACTAGAAATCTATTTAAAATATAGCCTTTTATTAACACAGTAAAACTTCTCTAGTGCTTACTTGAGGACCTTCCAAACTTCATATATTCGAAACCATTGGTGTTTGGGGGGGAGATTGAACAGGCAGTAATAGTAAAGGTCTGTTTTCAGCATTCTGCTTTGTTTTATCTTGATTCTTGCCAACAGCTATATTATCAGGTGATGATCCACAGTGAAGTTAAGGTAGTTCATGCACTTGGCATCTTAGGTGAATGGAGGTGGCATAGAAAGGTATGGGTCTGGGCAAGATTTTGTGCTAGTGTTGCATTCTGTCTATGATGTAATGTCTCCTTTATAACTATCCTTAATCTTCTGAACACCCAGACAAAATGTGGGTCCGGAAGCAGCAGTGCTTACCACTTCAAAAACAATGAAATAGTTTCCATTTCTTGAGGGTCCCACCCACTCTTACTTTACCTCCCTAGCTCCATATTTATTTATTTATTTATATTTATTTATTTATTTATCTATCAAACTTATACCCCTCCCTCCCCGCAAAGCGGGCTCAGGGCGGCTTCCATAAAAGCATAAATACATTAAAATACACAATATTAACCATACAATAAAACATTATAAATACAAAGTGCTGGCAGCAGATTAAATTAGTCTAGATGGTATATTACAGGAATAAATTGCCACTGCCCAGATGTTCCACGATGTTTTCTGCTCTTAGTCCATTTGTTGTTAAAACCACGGGCCAGGCTCAGCTGTAACGGCCTGCAGTAGGAGCCTGCTGTAGCGGCGGCCCCTACTTGCATGCCTGGCGGAAGAGCTCCCTCTTGCAGGCCCTGCGGAACTGCAAAAGGTCCCGCAGGGCCCTGATCTCCTCCGGGAGCTCGTTCCACCAGGTAGGGGCCGCCACTGAGGAAGCTCCGGCCCTGGTGGTGGCTAACTTGGCCTCCCTCGGGCCAAGGAGGGTCAACCGGTTTTGAGATCCCGACCGTGGTGCTCTCTGGGGTATATACGGGGAAAGGCGGTCCCTTAGGTGTGTCAGACCCCGGCCATATAGGGCTTTAAAGGTAAGAACCAGCACCTTGAAGTGGATTCGGTATGCTATTGGCAGCCAGTGCCATGTGCTCAGCACAGGCTGGATGTGCTCCCGTCTAGGGAGGTCCATCAACAGCCTGGCCACGGCATTCTGCACCAGCTGCAGCTTCCGGATCCATGACAAGGGCAGCCCCATGTAGAGACCGTTACAGTAGTCTAGTCTCGAAGTGACCATCGCATGGATCACTGTTGCTAGGTCAGCGCGGTCGAGGAAGGGGACCAACTGCCTAATCAGCCTAAGATGGTAATAGGCCAACCTGGCAGTGGCCGCCACCTGGGCCTCCATAGTAAGGGAGGGATCCAGGAGGACACCCAAACTCCGCACCTCCGGCACTGGCACCAATGGGGGCCCCCCCCCGAAGATCGGAAATGGGATACCCACCCCCACGCCGCCCCAACTCAATCACAGGACCTCTGTCTTTGCTGGGTTCAGCTTCAGTCGACTCAGGCTAAGCCAACCCGCCACAGCCTGTAAAGCCCCGTCCAGGTCCTCCGGTCTGGATCCAGACTGGCCGCCCAGCATCAGATAGAGCTGGGTGTCATCAGCGTACTGATGGCACCCCAGCCCATACCTCCGGGCAATCTGGGCAAGGGGGCGCATATAGATGTTGAACAGCATGGGGGACAACACAGCCCCTTGGGGCACACCGCACTCCAGCGGGTGCCTCCTGGACTGCTGTTCCCCCAACACCACCCTTTGTCCCCGACCTTGGAGAAAGGAAGCCAGCCATTGTAAGGCAAGTCCCTGAATCCCCACGTCGGCGAGGCGGTGGACTAATAACTGGTGGTCGACCGTGTCAAACGCGGCCGACAGATCTAACAACAACAGTACCGCCGATCCGCCTCGATCCAGATGCCTCCGGAGGTCGTCAGTCAGAGCGACCAGAGCCGTCTCCATCCCGTGTCCCGGGCGAAAGCCAGACTGGAAGGGGTCGAGCACGGAAGCGTCATCCAGAAAGCCCTGCAGCTGTGTCGCCACCGCCCTCTTGATTAATTTGCCCAAATAGGGCAAATTAGAGACCGGCCGATAGTTGGCCAATTCGGCCGGGTCTAAAGACGGTTTTCTCAGGAGAGGGTGGACCATCGCTTCCTTGAGTGCCCCAGGGAACTGCCCCTCTAAGAGGGACTTGTTGATAATCTCCCTTAGGGCTCCCCGAAACCCCTCACGGCCAGATTTAATAAGCCATGAAGGTCACAGGTCAAGGCTGCACATGGTTGGACGCACAGCTGCAAGCAATCTGTCGACTTCCTCTAGGCTGAGTGGGCTGAAGCGATCCAAGGTCAAAACCGGAGACATGCAATGGGCCTCAAGCTCGCTCATTGTTTCAAGTGTGGCGGGGAGGTCACGGCAAAGCGCCAAGACTTTATCCACAAATTAGCTCGCAAATGCCTCACAGCCTATATCCAATATGAATTTCTGAGTGCCCATCATTGGTGGAATTATTTCACAGATGGCATATTATAGGTTGAATCGTGACATTCCAAAATGTGTGCTCACTCAGAAGTGTATCTGCTTCAGCTGTGGGAAAATCTAACAGTGATTTGACTTTATTCCTGAGTTTAAAAGCCACAGGCTGAAAGCAGCTGTGATGGCAGTATCACTAGTGCATTGACAGTGTGTATTTTTATTTAAAGCATTTTTATGCCGCCTTTCCACCCAGTAGGGTCCCCAAAATGGTAAATATTAAAACAGCATTTAAATTAATGCATACATTCAGCAAAGCATATAAACACAAGACACCAAAACCAGGGAGGCAGGCCAATAGCAGTTATTGGGAGTATGTCAAACAAAACAGAAAGGTCTTCACTCACTGGTGGAAGACAGTGATAGAGGGAGACAGAATAATCTGTCAGTTTGGTGCTGTGACTGAAAAGGCCACAGGAGTCTAGCCTCAGATGGTAAGGGCACACAAAAGAGGGCCTCCAAAAATGACCAGAGTAGATGGGAAAAGGTTTAAAGTATGCGGGTCCTAAGCCATATAGAGCTTTAAAGATCAGTACTAGGACCTTGAATTGAGTCTGGAAGCAACTGAGAGCCAGTATAGATGTAACAAGACTGGAGTGATATGGTCCATATAACCCACTTCAGTCAACACTCTGGCCACAGCACTCTGCACCAGCTGTGATTTCTAGACAGTCTTGGGACATGTTATTTTAGTATACCCATCTCTGTGCTCATTCCTACACTCTGTATTGAAACCCCTGTCCCTTCCCCCCATGCCAGATCCAAATTGGTACACCTAAAGAACTACCTATCCTAGTTTGTTGTTGAGCCACAGGCCAGCAGTTTTTTCTTGTGTGCTACCAACTTATCCCTGAACTCTTGACCATGATCAGTAGAAATCTCTTGTTAAGTATATAGAGAAGACCACCATAACTTTATGCTTACCTCACTTATCATTCTTGCTTTTGGCACCATCTTCAAACTGGAAGCCATTTCTGTTCAGGACCATGAAATTGGGACTGAAGTTTTTATAGGATTATGGAGAAGCATATTCATGCAATGAAGAAGGAAGCAGGTTGGAAATTGTATATAAAGATTTATACTTTGGATTCCCCCCCCCCCCAGCACTAATTTACTATTGCTGTTGCTCTGTTGGGAGTAGCACCTTTCCTACTGAATTTTTAAACCATTAATGGAGTATATTGTTTATGTCTGGATGATAAGGGCTTGCTTGTATTTTTTTCAATTTGCATAAAGATGTATTTATGAAGAAAAAACTGAGCTAATAGTATTGTAATTTTGATAATTCTGTAGGACATCTGTACAGTTGTATCACATTTTACTTTTCAAGTTTACTTGACAGGGTCAGTGCTGCTTGCCCATTTAATAAAGCTGGACAGCATCCTTGTCAGCATCTTATTGGTCTTCGGAAAGCTGTGTACCGATCAGTAAGAGCCAATTTCAGAGCTTCAAGGCTAGCTACCTTGTACATGCTGAAACAATATCCTTTCTCAAATAGGTTACATAGAAAAATGAGAGACTGCTGAATTGGTTCTTAATTCATTTTGTTTGTAACGCATGAGTTCATCGTGTCAATGGGGCTATGACTTAATATCCTACACATTTAGAGACTTGGCTCTGTTTATTTGATTACATTTTCCTTGACTGTCTCTAAGGAGCCTAGGGTGGCACATGTGGTTTTCCCCTGACACATTACATTCAGTAATCCCTGTGAGATAGGTTAGGCTGTTAGATGGTTACTGGTCTATGGTTACCCAATGAGTGCATAGCTAAGTGGGAGTTTAAACTGAGTCTTCCAAATCCAGCACTCTGTCAACTATACCATATTACAAGAGGTGTCTTCTGGGACTATAAGAATTTGGTGAAGAATTTGTTTTTCCCCCTGAACCCAGCCCGCATGCGTTTTTTACACCATTCCTTCTCCCACTCTCTCTGTCAACCCCACCCTTCTCTCTATTTCCAAGTCATAATTAGGTATGTTTGGTCAGATTTGCTTACAGCCCAATCCTGTGCATGCATGATCAGAAGTAATGGAGCTTGCTTCCTATTCTGTGCGCATAGGACTGCATGCAGCCTTACAGTACAATTGAAGTCCAGCAAACTCAATGGGCTTTATGCCCTTGTCCTAGCTCTTCCAGTTTTTTCTGACCATCCATTCTTCCTGTCTCTGTAGCTGTTCTCAGGTAGTCTGTCTTTTTCTTCCTGTAGACATAAGGCTTGAATACAGCTTATACTTAACTGAGCTTAAGGGAAAGGAGTAAACAGGAAAGATTACCCAAAGGCAGATTTCTGCTGGGTTAAAATGCAAAGAGGGGAAAGCATTCTTTGGAAGATGATGTTTGACCTGGTTAGATTCAGTACAGGAGATGTTCTCTTTTCTGTATTTGGCTGGAGTTTTTGTCCCCTCTCTTCCTTAGGAATAAGGGTGTTTAGGAGGGCAGTGACCACTTTGAATCAATTTGGCAGTTGCCTGTTTTTGATGTCTAGCTATATAATGATATGAAGTCCTTTTGCCTCTTTGCTCCTTCAAATGCCCAGCGTTTTTTATATGCCACAGAACTTTTTTTAAAGGTTATTCTGTTCAGCTGATGAAATTTTAATGGAACAGATGGCATTTAATTTTGGACAAAGCAAACTCACTGACTGTGGCATGTACTGAATCAGTGTGTTGCAGTATTTTAGCTAGCTAGAAACAGAAACACAGGGTCTTTAAATGGACTTTATATGAAAATCCTGACATGGATATTGGGAAAGGAGAGATGCTTGGTATCACTGAAAGAACTCCCTTGATACTTGGAAGAAATTTCTTTTGGGAGTCTGAAGAGCAAAATTTGGATTGCACAGAAATTTTGAGTTTTGTGACCTAGATATGTAATTAACAAATAACCAAGGCATTGAGTAATACAAACAAAACTGAGAGGCAGCATTCAGAATTTCATTTGCAGAAGAAGCTTGCTTATCAGGACTTCATATTAATTTGAAAAGAGTACATTGCTAAAATCATTCAAGCTCAGAAAGTTGTCCTTTTAAACCCCAATAGATTGTCGACTTGGTTTAATACTTATAATTAGTATGAGATTTAATTTGCTTTTTATTTGTGCTTTTTATATACTTTTTGTCACTTTGTAATCATTTATAATTTGTTGGTTGTGTCCTTTTAAATATGGAAGTAAAGAAATGTTGGCTACTGCTTATTCACAAATGTTGACAGCTTCAATTTTGTTTGTAATATCAGTTTATGACCTATTGGTAAACACAGCAAGCAGCCACTGATAAGGACATGCCTATTTCTGTGAATTTTCTGTGTTGTGAATTTTTTTTTTTAGAAAGGTAGCCTGTTGTTGTTTTTTCTTTGTGTGTCTTCATGTTTCACGTAATACAAATGCTTTATTGTTAATGCCTTAACCCCAGCTAAACCTATCCACTGAATTCTGAAAGTGACAATGTGACAAACTACATCTGTGTGGTGCCTTTTAAGGAACTTGGCCTGGGACTGAGTGAAGAACAAGTATCTGAAGAAGAAGCTCACAATTTCACAGATGGCTTCAGCCTGCCCGCATTGAAGGTAACCTCGCATTTTAGTCTTGGCAGCAGCCTATTTTTGTTGTTTTTGGTAGTCTGTAGAATAACTAAATAGAAGTGAGTCTTAATAACAAATGAAAAACAGTCCAAAGTTCATTAAATTATCTGGAACATTTTAACTAATTGTAGGAAGGAAGCTTTGGGAGTTTGTTAGCACCCACCAGATCAAAAGTTAGAGGATGATTTAAAAACAGAAAAAGAATTAAGGAAAGCAGCTAGATGAAATAACTGCGTCATAACACTGACACACATTGATTGAGTTAATATGTGTTGTCAGGAGAAAGAGATTGGATTTCTAGATGCTCTCAGTGACTGTGCCATGGAGCAGATGGTCACCAAACCTACCAGGAGGAAGGCAATCCTGGACTTGGTCTTAAGTAATACGCAAGACCTGGTGAGAGATGTAAATGTGATAGCACTGGTTGGGAACAGTGACCATGAAGCTATTAAATTTAGCATTTGTGTAAATAGAGAGTTGCCAAAAAAGACCGATACAATTGCATTTAACTTTAGACGGGGGAACTTCTCTCAAATGAGGGGACTTGTGAAGAAGCAACTGAAAGGAAAGGTAAGGAGGGTCAAATCACTTTTGGAAGCTTGGAGACGATTTAAAACTACAATCCTGGAAGCTCAGATACAATGTATACTGCAGGTTAGGAAAGGTATGAGTAGGTATTTTAAAAAGGCCTGCATAGAGCAAAGTAATGGAAGAGGTAAAAGGTAAGAAGGATTCCTTTAAGCGGTGGAAGGCTAGTCTGAGTGAGGTAAATAAAAGGGAGCACAGGCTTTGGTAAATAAAATGCAAGTTGTTGATCAGACGGGCAAAAAGGAAGATATTGCAAAGAACCTAAAGACCGACAATAAAAATTTCTTCATTTACATTAGAAGCAGAAAACCAGCCAGGGAGGCAGAGGGTCCCTTGGATGACCAAGGGGTAAAACAATTACTGAAGGATGATAGGGAAGTGACAGAGAAGCTGAATACTTTTTTTGCCTCTGTCTTCACTGTGGAGGGGTCCCCAAAAGGTCAGCATTGGTACTGCCTCTGAAACACGCATTTAGATAAGGGTATTAAAATAATAGCTCTTATGGGAAAAGTCATTTCAATCTCTGCCAAGCATAAACCAGAATTATTATTTAGAAAAAGAAATGGCTGTTTCCCCCATCATTTATAATGGTCTTTTTTTTCTGCCAATGAGAAAGCATATTGTGTGACAAAGTGGGAAAATGAAAAAAATGGTTATCTTTTTAAACAACATAGATTATAGTGACTTGTTTCTGTGATTTTAGGTTTTGTTTCAGCTTTGGGTAGGGCAAAGTTCTGAATTCTTCAGGCGGCTGGTTCTTCTGATGTCTCCTTCCAATGCTTCCCCTAAGAATCTGATTACGCCGGAACGTTTGCCTCTTTGTGTATTTTCTGATGTGACTCAAGGTCTGCCTCATGCTCATGCTGCCTGCTTAGAAGAACTGAAACGAAGTTATGAGTTTTATCGGTACTTTGAAACCCATCATCAATCTGGTTCTGATCGTTTAATCAAAACCAACCAGAAGTCAAGAGAGCTAAACCATCTTCATACTGCAGTGCGTAGTTTGCAGCTCCATCTGAAGGCCTTACTGAATGAGTAAGTTGATATCTATGAGAGAACATCTTGCTAGTAGTCTAATGGTAGTTGTTGCTTAAAAATCTACACTGTTGTCTTTTAAAGACATTTTATGCTGATTTCTAGTGGCCAATGTAACTTTCCCCCGACACCTACTTAACCAAAAATGTAATTATGTTCAGTAAAGTGGAAATAGTTTCAAATTAGAATTTGCTGTACCTGTACAGAGTTTGAGCATAAAATAACACATTGTGTTTCTAAAAAACGTGCGCGACAGGGTTAATATTTGGAACTGATCCCAGAATCGTAAAGAGATCTGATAACAGTGCAGGCCTATGCAGTTACTCTAGAGTAATGCACCTGGAATCAGTGGATTTAGACTGGAGTTACTCTGCATAGAATTGTACTGACAAGTACTATTAGAAAAGAGCAAGAGTCCATTAGCACCTCAGAAAATAACAACATTTGTGGCAGTGTATGAGCTTTTGTGAGTCACTGCTCACTTTTTCAGATAACTACTATGTATGCAAAGGCAGAGGCCACAGTAGTGTGGATAATTCTGGTAATACCTGTGAAAACAATTAATTAAAATCCATAGGTTTAAGCATGCATATGTCTTTGGTGCGTGTGTTTAATTTTCCTGTGTCTACTCATATAAGTCAGTTTTTATTTCTAAAAGAAATGTTTGTAGAGCAGAGATGTTAGTGAGAGGAAAGGGGAGTCTTGTATTTGGATTCTTTTGCTTTGCTGAGACTAAATTTAAAAAGCCTGAACATTGGGGTGTGCGCCTATTTTTTTTCCTGCTCAGTTGTGCAGGTACTACTTCTCATTATTTTTCAGAGGTACTATGCAAAGTAGAAAGCTGTTCTGTTCCCCTCCTATTCATTCAGTCACTCAGCAAAAATAGTGTTTTTCTTTAGTAACACTCCTTGTTACTAATTTCTATCCAGCATTAGTCTGTCTGGTTCTTCTTTGCTACTTATGTGGAACTAGTCTAGAATTTCAGAAAGGGTGCTTCTATCTGCCACTTTAGAGGCTTGAATTATGTAAGCAACAATACAATCTTAATTAGTGTTAAACCATTCTGAGTCAGTTTGCTTTAATGGAATTAGTATGGTATACTGCTGTTTAGGATTGCACTGTAAATTATATTTCACCTTTTAGACTCTGGCCAGTATCTTGTGGTATGTTGACATTGCACATATCCCAGTAAAGCTAGACACAGTGATATTGTGGGGTAGAGACTATCCTAACCTATTACAATTTTATGTGTCCTCTGAACAACAGAAGGATCAGTGATATCCAGATTGCTCATACCTGTAGATTAAATATATGGAGTTATGAGCTACAGCTGGAAGATGTTCACTATCCCGTTAGCTGGTCTTCCAGCAGTGGCCTCAGAACTAAGGATTGAGGGTGCCTCCCTCATTTCCGTCTTTGATGCATCCTGTTGGGAGCACCTGGGAACTTCTCATTGTCCTCTTAGCCCCTTTTGAAGGTACCACAGAAAGCCGTGCATGTCTCCATGTAATTCCCGGCTATTCACAAGGGAAGAAGTTCTTATGAGAGATTGGGAGCCATTTTGACTGTTATCTCAGTCTCTCCCTTACTCTACCTTTCAAGCTGTTCTGGGATACTGCCAGTCAGCTGAGGAGGCAGTGGTATGTATATTTTAAAATACATCAGAAAACAAAATGATTACTCCTTTTGTATGAACAAGACAAAGAATAGGACAAATTGTAAAATACTATCTGGGGAAGTTTAAATGATCAAGGAGATACACAAGATGTTTGATTAAGAAGTTAATAAGGTGTTAACATTTCTTTTTTGTCCAGAGTAATAATTCTGGAAGATGACCTTGAAAAATTTGTTAGTTCCAAGGAAAGCCAAGAACACTCTTTAGAGGCCTACCAAGTTGTAGAACAAAAACTAAAGCTGATTCAGCCTCACATGCAAGCTAGCAACAGCTGCTGGGAAGAAGCCCTTTCTCAGGTGGAAAAAGTGGTTCGAAGAAATCGTGATAAAAAAGGTATATTTTTACAACATGATTAACCAGCAGTTGAAAAATCCCTTTAAAAAATGGGGAGATCTACAAGTTGACCCCATGTATGCAGCCAAATCCTGCAGGGCTGGAGGAAAGAGGCATTTACTTTGGCTTTGCTATTAGGTGGCACCAAGATTCAATGAAAAAGATAGGGCACCCTGCTAAATACAGACATTCTTAGCTTCATGGAATGTTTCCACATGATTAGATATTGTCAACTAATAGATGGCTGCCTCATAGCAGATTTAGTGACCATATCCTTATTTACCTCTAGTTGATTAAACATTGTGGGGACATTTGCATATATTGTAATCAATTCATCTTGGTCTGTCGTGCCACAGCCTGGCAGCTGTAGATACTATATTTCACATACTCATCTCATTTTAGTATTATAGTAATCATCTGGTTTTCTACAATATAATAATCATTAATCAAGATGATTTGAATTGTATACAAGAGACTATATAGTATTATTTCTGTCATGAGAACATAAGAGCCCTGCTGAATCAGACCAATAGTCTGTCTGGTCTAGCATCCTGTCTCTCACAGTGGCCAACAATAGGGCATAGAGGCCGAGGCCTTCCCCTGATGTTGCTTCCTGGCTCTGGGATTCAGAGGATTAGTCCTCTGAATATGCTGCCTCCCCTCAGTCACGATGGCTAGTAGCCGTTGATAGACTTATCCTCCATGAATCAATCTAATCCCCTTTTCAAGCTGTTTATTCCTGTGGCCATCACTACATCCTCTGGCAGTGAATTCCACATTTTAATCACTCTGTAAAGTAGCATTTCCTTTTGTCCCTCCTGAACCTACTGCCCATCAGCATCATTGGATGCCCTCGAGTTCTAGTATTTTGGGAGAGGGAGAACAATTTCTCTTTGTCAACTCTCTCCACCCCATGTGGAATTTTATAAACCTCTATCATGTCCCCCCCTTAGTAGTCTCTTTTCTAAACTTAAAAGTTCCAGACCCTTCAGACTTTCCTCACTGGGAAGGTGCTCCAATCCCCTCCTCTGTTGTTGTTGCCCTCCTCTGTCCTTTCCAGCTCTGCAATGTCCTTTTTGAGATACAGTGACCAGAAATGTACACAGTATTCCAAATGAGGCCCCACCATAAATCTATATAGGGGCATTACAATATTGGTTGTTTTATTCTCAATCCCTCTTCTAATAATCCCTAACATAAGGTTTGCCTTTTTCAATGCTGCACCACACTGGGTTGACATTTTCATTGAGCTATCCGTGACGACCCCAAGATCTTTTCCCCTCTCATTCTCAGCAAGTTCACACATGATTAGCCGCCCTATACTCAAAGTTGGGAGTTTTTGATCCCAGTTTACCAACATTGAACTTCATTTGTCAGATTGTCGCTCACTCACCCAGTTTGTGGAGGTCCTCTTGGAGCTCTTCACAGTCAGCCTTGGTTTTCACCATCCTGAATAATTTTGTATCAATATGTTCTCGAAGGCTTTCGCGACCGGAGTTCATTAATTTATGAATAAATTAAATAGGAGCGGCCCCCATACCGATCCTTGTGGGGCCTCACTGCTTACTTTATTGTAAGAACTGTCCATTGATTCCTATTCTTTGCTTCCTGTCATTTAACAAGTTTTTAATCCATAAGAGAACCTGTCCTCTTCTCCCATGACTGCTAAGTTTACTCAGGAGTCTTTGGTGAGGTATCTTGTCAAAAGCCTTTTGAAAGTCCAGGTATATAATGTCTACCAGGCCACCACTGTCTGCATGCTTGTTCGTTCTCTCAAAGAACTCCACAAGGTTGGTGAGGCCAGACTTCCCTTTGCAGAAGCCATGCTGATTTTCCCTCAGCAGGCTTGTCCCTCTATGTGCCTAACAATTCCATCTTTGATTATAGTTTCTAATAATTTGCCTGGGACAGTCATTACGCTGACTGGCCTTTAATTTCCTGTTTCCTTTCTGGATCCCTTTTTAAAAATTCATGTTACATTTGCGACTCTCCAGTCTTCTGGTACAGTGGCTAAATTTAGTGATAGTTTACATATCACTATTAGTAGTTAGTAGATCAACTGTTTCACCTCTGAGTTGTTTAAGAACTCTCAGGTGTATGCCATCAGGACCTGGAGACTTAACAATTTTTGATTTTCCCAGTAGGTCTAGAACCATCTCTGCTTACCTCAGTGTGGCTCAGTTCTTCAAACTCCCTTCCTGAAAATAGGAAGTTATGTAGGTGCTTTTACAGTACCCAATGCCTTCCCCATGCCCTCTTTACTGCTTAAATATTACACCTCTTGTGGCATGGGTACGTGCCCCCTACTTTCCATAGTGAATACAGAAGCAAAACAGTAATTGAGCTTCTCTGCCATCTCCCCATCTTCCTTTAGCAATCCCTTTATTCCATTGTCATCCTTGAAAAATAGATTGGAATCTCATGTGAATTGTATTCTCTCCAGACATAATACACTGTTATTACTCACCCCCTCTCCCCAATATATATATATATATATAATTTGAGACCTGGGAAAGTTGAATTCAACCTGCCAATTGTAGCTGGTTGTATAATACTTTATTCTATAGCCAGTTATGTAGGTGCTTTTACAGTACCCAATGCCTTCCCCATGCCCTCTTTACTGCTTAAATATTACACCTCTTGTCGTTATGTGAACAGAACTGTATTAAACATTTCCAAACCATGCATTTGATAAAATCTGCGCTTGCTTCTAGAAATCTCATGCAACAATACATTTGTATAAACTTGTCAAAGGAATCTTTGCTGTCAGATTCTTCTGCTTTTGGGATTTACTTTTTAGGCTTTGTTGAACAACTGCATGCTACATTAAATATAAGTACACAGGCACTGTAATATTTATTAATGGTATCAATTTCTCCAAAGCCTTGACATACATTATAGCAGTGTTACCAGTGTTAATATTGCTACAGTAAAATGTTTTCTCACTGGCATCATTGAGAAACTGAGGTGGTTGTTGTTATTGTTACTATTTATTTGATTTATTAATTGCCCCATCCTGGTTTGCACCAGGCTCTGGGTGATGTACAACAGAGGCATAAAGCCATAAAATGAATATATAAAACATTAAAAAATTCAGAATAACAAAAGTAGAATAACAAATTTTTGAAAACCAAATTAAAAAGTCCCAGATGGCATCCTTAAATTTTTTATCCCAGTTCCGGACTTTCTGGGAGAGGGAACACAAGATCAGAATTAAGGGGGGGGGGCAGCCATGATAGAACACCGTTGCTGTCTTCAACCAAAATTCTGGCGGAACACCTCTGCCTTGCAGGCTCTGCGGAATAGCATAAGATCCGGCAGGGTCCTGGTGGTATTAGGCAGAGAGTTCCACCAGGTCAGGGCCAGGATCAAAAAGATCCTGGCCCTGATCCAGGACAGCTGGACATGTTTGGGGCCAGGGTTCACCAGCAGGTTGTTACCTGCAGAGCGTAAAGCTCTCCCCATGCCTTTGCAAGCTAACCAAGCTTTTACTGAAGCCATGGCTGTGATTCACTACTTGTCCTCCAGAGCGGGTGAGCAGCCCTGGTGGGCTCCCAGGATGGGTGCCACCTGCTCAACAGAAGTGCAAGCAAGTAGTGCCCACTGCCAGAATGCACCTTATGGCTTCATATCACTGATTGGCTGAGCAGTGGGTGGCATGGGGGTAGGGAGCAAAGGGGGATTCCCAGCCATGGGCCATATCCGCTTGTCAGCAGTGTGAACAGGCAGCATGAATGACTGGGTGTCAGAGTCTTATAAACACATGTATTTCTTGTGACACACACTTAAAATTAAAGGATTGGTTCCTTCTTAAGGCCTTCATCCTGGGAATTATCCATAACCAGCTATTGGATCCCTGGCAGTTCATTCTTTCTTCATTTGAAGTATTTGAGTAACAGAGCATAGAGTCCCAATATAAAGTCAAAAAACTGAAGCTTACATATGTGTAAATAACAATGCACAGCAATCAGGCCAGTTAAGGGAGCTTATGTTTGAGCATGTAAATCCTGTCACTTCAGTAAGAAAACAAGATTAATTCTGGTTTTATGCATACTAATACTTGCAAGTGAGTGGCTACTGACTGATCTGATTTCCCAGTAACTGTGCATGTAATTGCTGCCTTAGAAGTCACAGCATAGTTATTGTGAGGCTTATTCTCAAGGATATTGCTAGTAGCAATTTGCTACCGGTGCCACACACCAGAATAATCTTACTTTGTTGAAATGATATGTGATGAGTGAGATCTGATGAGGAAGAAGCACAGTATGGAGCAGGAGATCTTTGGAGTCAGAAACACACTTGAGGATAGAGATGTTTGACAGATGAATACAGGAACACTCCTATCTGCAATCTGTCATTTTGTGTACGAATGGGGAAGAGAAAGTTGAAGACAAAATACAGCATTTGAACAAAGAGCCTGAAAACTTCAGCAGCCAGGAACCCACATTCTTCCCACCCTTTTAGAGTGTAATTTGGCCCAGGCAATTTATTTACCAGGCTGGAAAGTATCCTGATTCATGGTGTTCATGCAAGTACTTTGAGGAAGACTACTCTCAGCTGAAGAATTTTAGGCCATGTACTAAATTTTATCTATATTAATTGGGACTCATTGGGTGCGTTCAGACGGGGGATTTACAACGGTTAGGGTGCCGGTTCCAACCGGTGTACTTACGGGCGTTCACACGGCGAACATCTGCCTCCCGTCCCTAACCGATGTAAATCCCTTTAAACCGTTGCACTCTGCCACTAGGTCCCAAGTGGTGGTAAACTGAGTGCAATGGTTGAAAACGGTGCACCCCGGCGTCTGATCGCTCTCCAAACGTTGTACAGCCACTTCCACCGGAAGCCTGAGGCTTCCGGCTTTCCCCCACCATTTTTTTTTTTAAAAAAAGCGATATGCGCTCGGGCGAAGCTTCACCCCGAGCGTTTGTTAAGAAAAAAAAAGCCCTTACTTTAACTTCCTGGAGCAGTCCGGAACTACAGGGAGGCCAGGTTGGGCTTTAAACTTTAAAAGTAAGGACTTACCTTTAAATTTTAAATGTAATGGGGGGGGGTGTTTGAGCATGTGCAAAAATCGCCATTCTCTGAATGGCTGCCTATGCGCATGCTCAAACTGTCCTTAAAAAAAAAAAACGCCGACACCCGCAGCGTGTGAGCGGGCGTCCACCGGAGGGATCCGCAAAATCGAGGGTAAGTGTGATCGCGTTTATGCCGGCAGAAACTGCACCGGTTCCAACTGGTGCAGTTTATGCCGGGAGAAACGCCCCGTGTATTAAGTCAGTTTTTAAGAGATATAGTACAGTTGTATCTCTTTGAAGTATATTCTAACATAAATTAAATCTGATTGATGTAGGCTAATACAGAGCACTTTTGCTACTTGCAGTGGCTGTTCCACAGGTTTTAATACAAATTTGACTCCTTTTTATCCTTTCTTCCAGACAAACCTGAGGTGTCAGGTGAGAACGAGCATTGCACCATGATACCTTCATTACAGCCTGCTGTACACATAGAGGACAAAGACCCAATTCCTGAAGAGCAGGTAAAATCTGTTGTTGTTTTAAAAAATCCTACTACTAGCAATAGTAAAACGTAAGGTCTGAATAAATAATGTCTAAAGTTAATGCAAGTAGCCTTTTTTGTTGACATATTCTGTGCAATGTAGAACAAAATATTTACAATATGTCCCCAAACTAGGGTTGCCAAGTGATTTCCCTTGTATGGCCATGGCCCCGCCCCCAGCGTGCCTGTGTCACTTCCAGGTGACGCGCACGCCGGGGCGGAGTTCCCCCCAGGGCCCGATTCCGCGGCGGCGGAAATCAGGCCTCCAAAGCGGGGGTTTACCCGCCACCCGCCCCCACTTGGCAGCCCTACCCCAAACCAGTTTTTTCACTTGAAGATATTATGCTTTGTGAAATTGTCCTAATAATAGGCCTCTGCTTGGCATGCTAGTTTTCTGTGTGCAAGGAATTTTTGATATGAAGAGGAGGACATTGATCTACAACCTTCTGAAGTAATGCGAAATGAGGAGTAAATCACAATTTTTTTTCTCTTCATGTAAAATTACTTACAAAGCATGATTGAAAGGCGTGTTTGAAAGGACTGCACTTTTGTAACGGTCCAATATCAGTTTAGTGATTCTTGTATCTTTTCCCCACTTCTGCTGAATCTTTCGTCAATAAAATATGCACTCCCCTGCCTTTCTCCCTTTAGTTTCTGGAGGGTGAAGGGGATGGTGTCTCAAGTCTTCTTTAAGAAAGGGAAACGATAGTCTGTTAAATAAATGTGGAATTACACATTTGGATTTAGCTCACTTTTTGTCACTCATTGTCTGGCACAAAGTATAAAATGGCCCTTCTCAAAGCAGAATACACTTTTCCTTTGTGGAAGAACAATGCAACCATTGTTATATGTACTTTACATATACAGAATAGCTAGAACTCTGAGCTGTAAGATATGCAGTTTCTCAAGGAGGGGGAACTTTAGAAGTATTTGAATGAACCTCATAAAAATGTACATCAATTATGGTGGACAATCATTGGAGATCAGAAATATCACCATCTTGCAGGGCTTGGGTAGTAAGCCAATCCAACAGGATGTTTGTTGCCTTTTTCCTCAGGAACTTGAAGCATATGTTGATGATACAGATATAGACAGCGAGTATAAGAGAGATGACTTTTATTACTTTTCCCTGGAAGACAGAGAGAGACAAAAGCGTGAAAGAGAGGAATCCAAGAGAGTGCTGCAGGAACTAAAATCTGTGTTGGGATTTAAAGCTTCAGAGGCAGAAAGGCAGAAATGGAAGCAACTCCTGTTTAGTGATCATGGTAAGCATTATTTTTCTTAGCTTGGGAAAATCTTTGTATATCTGTCTTTTGACAGTAGTTTTGTTTGCTATGACCAGATGTAATGCTTTAGAACACCTGTGGTCCTAGGTTGACATGCTTAACAGAATTTCTCTTCAGCTAAGAGGAAGAGATGAGATTTTTGTGCCCTAAGGATATGGAAAAGCTCCTAAGGCTAATCGAACACATGGGGATTGTGTGTGTACTTCCATTGAGTAAGCTTTGTTCTTTGTTCCAGAGACTATGCAACCTAATATCAGTTTATTGGGTTTTGTATCTTCTGACTGCTTTTAAGCGGTATTATTCTAAGACTAGGTACAGAAAGTTTGGAAAACTGCAGAAATGCTCATGATACAAATAAGAGAAGGAAAAGGCATTTTGTTTTGAAATTATTATTTGTCATAAGTATTGATGTATTGTAACTAAATTCATGTGTTTTACAGTTGTGGGGGACTTAACAGGTTATTTAGTTGTGTATAATTCTTATTTAAAACACTTTATGGTTGGCTTGAGGCTTGCCATTTTCAGTTTACTGATTTTGGTTTCTGTGCTTTGTACAATATATTTTGGAAAATACAATGTGAGAGGAAAACAAAGAGGAAGTTTAGAATAATAAGAACAAAATCCAAACTGCAAATTGAGAAGACTTTCCTGGATTAAAACTACAGCATTAAACCTAGATGTGGGTAAAGCAGCTTACTGGATACTGTTTAACTGTTGTTATTAGAATTTGGGGCCTACTTTTAGCATCCAGTATTCCTGCATCCATAAGTAAAACTGACAGTTATATTTGGATTAGCAGCTTTTCTGATAGCAGTGGAGACTTTGCTATTCCTTGTCATTATGTTCTTCTTTCCTTCCTTCCACTGATTCTCCGAAAGAACAAATTAATGAGCAAAATAATCAGTATTCTCAACATGCAAAATCAAAGAAACATAGGTATTCAAGGGTCATTTCTGCATGTTACAAGTATCTAAACAAAAGCTAAATAAATTAAATAGATTAAACTTTATTTGTAATGAAAGTCAGTATCTGAATGGAAACCTATTTTACTTGTGTCTGGTATTTTGTACATTAAGAAATAGATTACAAGATGCTACCTGTGAGTGACCTTCCAGTTATCTTACAGGTAAATAGAATGTGAAGGAAAGCAACTCAAATGTATGGTCAAATAATAACTAGTTTTATTTTAATTTCCATATTGCAATACTGTCACTTTATCATATTCTTTATTACTTCATATGCTTTATATATTTAGGAAAGTACATAGGGTGTTACCTAAGACGTCCAGCAGAAAATACGAATTTTAGATACGTTAAAAGTTATAGCTCAGTCATGATGTAGTAGATTATGTTAAGTTGTATGAATTGTCATTTCATTCCCCCCCCCTTTTTTTTTAAGCTGCAGTGAAACCCTTGCCTACTGTAGAGCTAGAAGAACCTATACATATTTTGGCATTGCCTAAGAATTCAGACTCTGGCAGGCAGGACTACAGCAGAAAAGAGGGTGACATAGAAGAGAGAGACTCCGATCCAAAATCACATGCTACTAAGGATGAGGAAGGCAGGACGGAATACTTATCTGATGGGTCTGGAGTGAGGAAAGAAGACATTACTGCTAATGGTGACTCACCAGTGTTTGAAAGAAGAACATGTTACCAGTGCAATGGAGAGGGAGAAGAATCCGAGCCATCTGGTGTGGATGGAGTGAATGTGCTGCTGCCGCCCGTGGCAGATGTGGTAAAACCCTCCATGAGACAAAGGCTGGCACAGCTCCATATATCAACAGATTTCGGTTTCACATCAGGTCTAGCAGCACAAGTTGCTGCCCGGTCACTTACATTTACAACCATGCAAGAACAGACATTTGGAGATGAGGAGGAGGAGGGGGAAATACAGGAGAGTGAAGACATGTTTGTAAAACAAAACAAAAGTGAAGTAAAGGACTGTGAAAATGAAGGTTTATAGATTGTACCTGAACCTTGCCTGTTTGAATATTACAGAAGGCTAGTGGGATACCTGAAGCAACACAATGCAAAGAGATTCATAGTTTGAAAATACTGAATGGCAAAGATATGAGATACTACTTGTGCTTTTTTAAATTGTGATATCAATTTGACTTTACTAGTCTTTGGTAATATATATACATGCAAGTGTAACCAAGCTCAAGGTATGTTGTACGGTTCTTACATGTGTCATGGATGACTTTGTGGAATTTCTTTTCATACTTTATTTATATAACAAGGCTTTTCTTCCTAACAGGAAGAGCAAATTGTCTTTGTCACTTCCCAAGTACTGACTTCAATAAGAATAGTAACAGTAAAACTACTTGAAATTGTTCTTTTACAAGAATATAAATGATATAATGTATGTCTCCCTATCAGCTTAACTTCAACTGTAATTTCTGTTTGGTATCAATAATAGGGGCTTTTGTTGTTTATGCTGGTTCACCTGTCTCTCAGCCTAAAAAAAGGAATGTTTTTACATTTTTTAAAAGGGAAGCCATAAAAGGTGTGTCTTGGAATACTAGTCTGCACTAATATAGGGATGTTGGCAAAGAATTACAAAGTGGCGGGGGGGGGGAGATATTATGCATATCATCTTAACTTCTAGACAAAATCTTTTGAATCCTTAATGTATATGCAGTGGTTTCTCCATGTACAAAACTCTCCTAAATTGTCTCTTGTGATTACCAGTAAGCCCTTTAGTAGGTAGAGGAAGATAAATAGGTTTCTAACAAATCCGCCCTCTGATATTTGTTTCCATTAATGTCCTTCAGTGGATGAAAAAAAATTGCTTCTTCAGGATAAGTAACTGGTACTTAGTGACCTTTCACTTTCAGTTTTTACTTTGTTTTTGTCTTGGGTAATTCAGATTCTTGTTTTGTTGTTTAGTTTTCAGCCTGGGCTACAAATAAGTTTTCATATCGGTCACTTCTACATCTCTCCCTCCATAATTAAAGAGCAGTATCTTCAGTTGACTCTTCTGGGAGCTAAAGGCACTACACAAAGGGTGCAGCATTTCTTGCTGCAGCATGCAAAATAGTGCTTTTACATTCAGCATTGGTTTATTTTAAATATTTGTACCTTGGCCTCAACCAGACTTCTTTTGGGGATGGTTTACAAAAAAATTCCAAAATACAAAACTTACTACAGTTGCCTTCAGCTTGTGCCCTTTGGGTTATGAGTTCAGGTAAGCCTTTCCCTATGCCAAAGGCGCTTGCAGGAAACCTAGCAAATACTTTACGGGAGACAATCGGTTCTGTGGTAAGAGGTATCAGAAATCAAATGAAAAATTAAACAAACATGAAATTCACAATGAACTGAGGACTGGATGCTTCCAGGAGTTGTCATTTATTTATTTGGTTTGATTTATTTTCTGAAATTGTGGCTGCCTTAACTGATTCCTGAAGGCCATTTAGGGCATATGTAAATCCATCTTACCTGAAAGCATGTGGGACTCATGGAAAGGTGCGCCATATGGAATGTTCTTTTACTATGAAGAATGGAAAATTTTCATGCTTTAGTTTACCATACTAGTCATATGTATATCATTATCTGATGCATTAATGTCAAGCAGCAGGCCTGAGCAAGGTCTTAATGCATTTGGGGTTAGTCATGGGTGAGACAAATCTTGCACTGACATCCCAAGAGTCTAACTCAGTTAGTCCATTGCATATAGAGACAAGAGGGGAAAAATGCTTTTAAAATAGCAGATCTGAGGAAAGGAACAAATAATGCAAGGATTATTGAGACAGTTCAGATTTGTGTCCTGGCGGCCAGCCAGGATGCCCTGTGCATACAGGTGCTTGATGGTTGCCATTGTTTTCTTCCGTACTCCAGACAGGGTCTCCTCCACATGGGACTTATCCAGCACCAGGGGGACACCTTTGATAGGGTCCAACTAGTAAAACAGGTATATCCTTCAGTACAATAGCAGCCTAGCCATATGTCTGGTTATTTTCCTTTATTTTAAAATTGGCAGGCGAATATTGTCAGAATCTTCTGATGGAAATATTTCTGCTGAATGATGCATTCCTGTTTGCAAATACAATGAGAGAGTGAAAAGCAATAGCCTAATGCTGAAGGTTGTATGAAGTGGAGACAGTTCTCCATTTTAAAATCAGTTTTCACTAGAGCTGATTTGTCTCAATAATAAGCCATGTCAGCAACTACCAAGCTCTCCAGTGGCATTAAATAAATACATCAAATGGGCTCATAATAAATTGTGCTTAGTCCTATTTAAGCCAGTTTGCATATTAGAAATGCCTGTCTATCACCATCCACAGGGCTTTGCAGTTTCACGGTAAACCTCATCTATTCCAGGATTTGTTGCAAGAATCCCAGGAGGCACTAGACTGTAGTCTATGTCGTGCCCATGTTTGAACTAAGTAATTTTGCTGCTTTTCCCTGAAATTTAGCATAGATCAGAAGAATGTCGGTAGTGATAAAGTTGTCTCCATATCTAACACTTATAGCATTTTTGAGCTTTTTGAATGATTTCTTTGCCCTATCAGGTAAATTATGCGGGTTTCATTCTGGAGTAAAAGTAACCATATGAACTATGTTTGTAGAAGTAAATTAGGAATACATCTCTAATAAAACATCAAACATTGTTTATTAAATGAAAATGAAAAATGTTAATTCAGAATTGGGAAATGTTTCTCAGATCTCTGAGCCTTCAGTTCTTGCTCATGAAAGATATGTTTACTGGCCTCTCTGGAGGCTTTAGCAGAATTTCAAAGGAAGCATGTAAAAGCCATTTTTAATTACCTGTATTGTCAATACATGTCAATTATGGTTGACCCTTTTTAAAAAATGCAGTATTTATTTAGATCCAATAGCTAGCACAAAGAATGGACATGTACTTTTGATGAAAAGTGATGGTCAAGATATTGTTAATAACTACCAACTAGTTCCAGTATCTTCACCTTTTAATTTTTAAGGAAAGGCCCCATTACTCAATAGCTGCCTTAGACTTCCAGCACACTATATTAAGGAGCAAAACTTGGGGATCTCTTTTAAAAGTTGTAGAATATGCACCTTACTCAGGTTTATTAACTTTTATGTTTAATAATGGATAAAAATGTGGGTTGGTTGTATGTTCAGTGAGCAGAACTAATGCATGAAGAATTAATATATGCCGGCTATTGTAAAATGACTTACAACATCAAAGAATCTGTCCCTTGATTAATTATAGCAAGCATACAGTTGGGCAGTCACTTCATTTTTTTGTCTATTCAGTTTATGAATTACCTATTCCCTACAATGTAAGGCTCTAGGTGATGTACAACCATTCAAAACAGAATTAAAACCAAAAATCAGCTACATTATCTCAGATCGTGTCAAACATTCCTTTGCTACCCTACTCTGGACTGTACCGGCTTGGCATAGATGGAAAAATGCCGACCTCGCACTATTTGTGACCTGGGCCTCCATAGTTAAGGAGGCATCCTGACAGATGGTGCCAATACCAGTGATGTCCCATCAAGAGTGGGAAGTATATGCCCAACCCCAAAGCCCCCACAGCCACAGAACCTCCATCTTTACTGGATTCAGTTTCAGCCTACTCTTTTTTAGCCACCCCACCTCGACCTCCAAATTCTTGGCCAGTTTGTCAGGGGTGATATACGGGCGGTCATCCAGTAGCAGATATAGCTGGGTGTCATCAGCATACTGTTGACACCCCAGCCCGAAACACCGCAGCAGCTGGATGAGGGAGTGCATATAGATGTTAAGTAACATCAGTGAGAGGACTGCTTGCTGGGGACCCCCACACATCAGGGGGTACCCAGGTGATATCCTCTCCCCTAGCAGTACCTTCTGTCCTCAACCATGGAGAAATGAGGTAAACCATTGTAAGGCCATCCCACAGACTCCCATGTTGACAAGGCAGTGAGTCAGAAGTTCAAAATCGACTGTTTCAAATGCCTCTGAGCCAGTTTGGTGTAGTGGTTAAGAGCACGTACTCTAATCTGGGAGAACTGGGTTTGATTCCCCACTCCTCCACATGCAGCTGCAGGTGTGACCTTGGGTCAGTCATAAGTTCTTTCAGAGCTGTTCTCTCAAGGGCAGTTCTTGAAAGAGCTCTCTCCACCTAGGGATGACCATGAACCGGGAGAATGGAGATTCATCCTTGTTTGTGGGGTCACACAAACCTTTACGAATTTCCCCGTTTAACAAACCAGTTCATTTTCTGAGTTCCTTGATGCGGTGTGGGGGGGTCTTCCCTCTTTTCTTTCTACGGGAGTGGCTTCCTGAGGCCAGCAAAATGGAAGATTTGAGATATTTTCCTCTTTCCTTTCTGCTGGCGGTGGCTCCCCGAGACCAGCAGAATGGAAGGTGGTAACATCTCCCTTTCCAGGAAATCTTCCCTTCCTAGTTTCTGCTGGTGGCAGCTACCCGAGGCCAGCAGAATAGAGGGGGGCAGATCTTGTGAAAGCCATTTAAAGATAACATTCCATATAACTGGCTTTTGCAGGTGGCACCATGCGCGAGTGAAGTCCAAGTGGTGAGTTCCCCACTTTCAGGTGAACTCACCGCTTGGACTTCATTCATGTGTGGCTTGCAAAAGCAATTTAAAGGGAATGCTTGGAAGCTGGGGGGGGGGCAAAAGGGATTGCTGAAATGGCTTACATCTACTTCTGCCTAACAGCTGCTGGGCGCACCAACCCCACTGTTAGGCTGAAATGGATGCATGCCATTTCAGCTATCCCTCTTGCTCCTACCACGAACCTCTGAAAACCACATGTAGGGTTGTGGGAGGGTCACTAGGGATGGGCGTGAACTTCAGTTTGTGAACCACAAACCGGTTATGTTTGTCACGAAATTAGGTTTGTGATGAGGTTCGTGCCCATCCCTAATTGTGACTACACATGGATACCATGCGGTACAAACTTAGTTGTGTGTGTGTAGGTACTACTATTAATATAAGTATTCAATGTGACATCACTAGGCTCCACCCCATGACATCAGGCCCTATCCAATGAATCTCAGCATTTAGGATGATGGGAACCTGGCAACCTCCCTTTCAGTGTACTCATTCTCCTTCACCATAATATTTCTGGCTACAGGCTTGCATCTTCATAATATAATTAAGTAGTAGAAATGTATTAGAACACAGGGTCAGGGTTGGAGACAGGCAAGAACTATTGGAATTATTTGATATTTGGACATTTTAATCGTATATAAATTGATGCTACCTGCTCTGAGCCAGTCATCGGGAAAGTGGGGTATAAAATAAATAGTGATAATCTCTCTTTGGATTCAAGTTCAAGTACTCCAAATTCTTGTCAGAGAAACTGCAAATAGATCACACAGCTAACAGTCAGATTATGAGAGCCCTTTCCTCCTTCCTCACAGTTAAATGGAGCTTCTGCTCTCAGGTACATGTACATTCATTGGATTTGTGGTTTCTGTCATCTGTATATAGGAGACGCAAGGACAGGTGGAGGAAAGAGATGGGGGTATGCTTTAGAGTTATTAGAAGAGCTCTTAAGTGTTAGCTGTCTTTGCAATGCTCAAGTGTGGCGACCTGAGTTTCAAGCTAGAAGTAATGTTTAGCAGCATCTCTATTGTTGGACCTGCATATAAAATAAGATACCATGAACCTCTGTTTAATCATTTTAATCCAGGCCATTTCATCAAGAGCTTCATAGACTTCAGAAAAATAGGAGGTTTCTGCATTAATACCGTGCATTCTTTTTCACTTGCTACAGAAGATGGATAAATCTGAGGCAAGCAAAAGGAGTCAGTGAAAGGCTGTTGTGTACAAACGCCTTTCCTTCTTGTTACAGGGGCAAAGGAGGTTGAGAGACTCCCAGTCTGGGCCGAAAACCCACAAATGTTATGTATTCTGCAATATTTCAAAGTAGCTTTTTTTTACATCAGGTCCTAGTTCTACTATACAGATACCCCTTTAGGTCAAAGCAGTCTTCAGATTTGTAGTAATTCTATCTCACTGAACAAATGTGGTTGCATGGCTTCATACTCTGAGGGCAGCTGCCCTACAGGTCACCAGGTCAAGGAAGGCCTCCCCACCCAGTAAAACAAAACAATTTACTCTGCACTGCATCTGTAATGGCAGTTCATTTCTTATTGAAATACTTGATTTTTCCAAGCCATGGGAAACAATGTCATACTAACATCTCCCAAATGTTGGTCATCATCATTGGACAGCGGTTGGCTGACCCTGTGCTGCTGCTCCATGCCTTGGAGTGGCTGTTCAGCAGGTCAGAGCAAGTGCTAAATGGTTCTAAGTTTGTTTGTTGAATGTTGGTTTATATAACAAAATAAAAAGTTATTTTAAAAAAAGAAATGCTGCCCCTCCCCCTGCAATGGGTCACTAAAGAAATGTCGTAAGAGAGTTCTTCTGTCCTTCTGGAGGGCCGGGAGCTCTGAAAGCATAAGATACAGGAACATGCCAGGGGGCTCATGATTGACATTGGTTATGAACATAAACTTCCACTCTTGGTTCTCAGATTTCAATTTTTATTTTCTAGCCTTAAACAACACACTTCTTTTAAATTTTCTCATTGTTTATTTCTCATCCTTGCTAGTTACTTCACATAATGACCTAGAAAATTATTTGTAGGGCAATTCTGTATGTTGAATGTGGTAACATTTTTAATAAGAAGAGATTGGATTTATACCCTGACTCAGAGCGGCTTACAATCACTTTCCCTTCCTCTCCGCACATCAGACACCCTGTGAGGTAGGTGGGGCTGAGAGAGCTCTGAGAGAACTGCTCTTGTGAGAACAGCTCTGAGAGAACTGTGACTGACCCAAGGGCACCCAGCAGCTGCATGTAGAGAAGTGGAGAATCAAACCCAGTTCTCTGGATTAGTCTGCCACTCCTAACCACTACACCAAACTGGCAATTTAAAAACAAACCCACTGTTTTTGAGGACTCTGGTTTGTTTGTTGTTTTTAAAA